CCTGTCTGCATGTCTGCATGCTGGCACGAGCTCCCACCCACCTGAGGGACACAAAAGAGAGATGAAGGTTTCCTGCTGATCCAGCTGTTTCTCTGGAAATGCAGATTGGCTGAGTGGTGCCTTTGGGATTTCTTATTAGGTTTTTCCTGTATTAATTCTGTGCAAGGAGTTGTACAAGCAGCCATGGGTTTGTTCCCACTGACTTTTCCAAGCAGACCACAGCTGAAGTGTTTGCCCCAGCCCAACAACCCGCAGAGGGGTGAAGGACCGGTGCTGGTTCTGCCACAGCCCATCCCACAGCACAGATGGTCCCATAATTGCTGCTTGCTTTCCCATCCTGACTTTCTGGGACATGTGTTTTGCATTGTGATCCCCTCAGCCTCCCTGGTTTTGTGAATCACACTTCATAAAAGAATGGCTACCTTGGGAACTCAAGGCAGGACATTTATTCTTCCTGTGCATGCGAGTTTGTCACTCCCTGCCAGTTTGTCACTCCCAGCCCAGCTCATAAAGCAGAGTCTTTGCTTTTAATCCTGATTTTGCAATGCACTGAAGTACACACATTCACCTCTCTCCACTGTAACACTCAGGGATGTTCTTAACTCTTAGTCCTGGGATTTTCTGTTTTAATTCAATCCAGTCTCATTTCCTGACTGTGCTGGTCCCCACTGAGCTATTCTCATTGTCCCTCTGTTTTCACCCTCCATCAATAAATTATATATGTTCTATCCATTATATATTCCTTACTAAAGCACTTTAAAGTGTTAAGATGAGAGGTGAAATAAGAAATAGAACACAGCAATCCCCTTTCATTTGCTGAACTTCCTTGGCACTGCTGCTTCATAGACAATATAGGATACAAACAGCATGAACTTTTCTAAAACTAAAATAACATACATTAAAATAAATGATAAATCAAACCTTTGTTGCAGCAACAGCACCAAAAAGCTGCAGATGATTCCCTGAGACACCAATAGGGTAATTTGGATTTTTCCAGGTAGGTAATGAGATCCTGCATGACAGCTCTGTGCTGGCAGAGCCCTCTCCTCCAGCCTGAATCCCTTCTGTCTTCTTCTGGTGGAAAAAAGGGAAATATTTCACCCAGCTAAAAATGAGCAAATGCTGATGTTTAAACAGAAATCTCAGAGGAAGCTGCCTCTGTAACCACAGCTGGTTTGCTGCAGACCTGAACACTCACAGCCAATTTGCTTTTTTGGTGTAATAGAATTCCAAGTCAGTCCATGGAGCTCCACCAGGGATTCATTTGGCCTTTTGCAGTTACTGGGTTAACCCTGGAAGGGGGAAGGAAAAGAGGGGACCACCAAAACCCATCTCTTTGCCAGCAAGCCAGTGCAGCACCGGCACCTTTTTTGTGGAGACATCAGGAGGGATGGGATCACACAGCTGGATTTGGGGATGTTTCTTGGTGGGGGATATGCCTGGAAAGGGGAGGATCCCTATGGGATGCAGCTGAGATGTGCTGAATTTAAAACTTTTTAACCCAGCCCTGTCACTGCAGCCAGACAGGGGCCACATAAAGACCCAAGGATGGGTTTATCCCCATCTGTGGCCACCGGGCTGTTTGGGAAGGTGGGGCTGGCCATCCTCCCCTCGCAGATGTGCCTGCAGCCAAGTCCTTCCCTGAGGCCCAGCCAAGGAACCAGTTGGTGCAGGATCCTCCACACTGCTGCTCTTAGTGTGTCAGCTTACTCAGATTAAGGTTGTTGCTTAAGCCTCCATGCCTATTTGCAAGCTGCCAGGACAATGGAAGCTCTCCATCAGTTTGTGGCTGTGCAGGAAGCTCGGGTGCTCCCAGGGGTGCACTGCCTCCCCACCTAGATTAAAAAGAGGTGCTGCCAACCTCCTGCCATCACGGACACCAGAGCTCCAGGCTCCCTCTCTCTGTCCTTGCAGCACTGCTGGGGGATTTTTCCTCTTGGATTTCCTGTGACTTTTTAAAACTCACCATAGTTGTTCCTGAAAGTCAGAGAGCTCTGAGTGTGCAGTGCAAACACCCTTCTGCCAGCCTGACCCACAGTGAGGTGCTGGGGCTCTTTCCCATTTTCCTGGGGACAACTAAAGGTTTTACTCCTGAAATTTAAAATCAGAAAAGATCCCTTTCCCTGTTTTCCCTGTGTTAATGGTGAAATCCTCTTTTTCATTTTTTCCCTTTAGCTCTGGCTCAGCTGTGTGTGCCTGTCCCACCCCAGTACCCAGAGATAAGGTGTGCAATGAGGGACAATCTCTTAATCCCTGCTGGTTCCTGTCCCAGCTCCCCCACAGCCATGGGGCTTTACAACCCCTTTTACCAACAGGTACTACCTCAGCAAGGTGCTGCCACAGCCCAAATTGTGAGCTGGAGACAAATATTCTTGTTGTGCTACTGTTCAGAAAACAGGGCAGAATTTGGAGTAGGAAGAGCTCATGTTGGGGCTTTGGTGATTTGTTTTTCCCAGTTAATAAGGGGAGAAAAAGCCCAAATGCTGCATCTCGGCTGTGTCACCGCCTGACAGAGGCTGGAGCCCGGCAGACACACAGACATATTGTTCTGGAATCAGCAATTAGCTTCCCATTTTTCCCCCTCATCCCTCTGAGAAAAGGACAAGGAAAAGCCCCACTTGAGAATAAATTAGTATCTCAAAAGAGAGGGAGCTCTGCAGATGGCTCCGTTGTGCTTCACTCTTGTGCAGCTCTGGAGCACTCAAGTCCCCATCCTCAACCTGTCCGTTGTCCAGATGTTCTCCTATTCCAGACACCTGGAAGAGGGAAGGTGGTCTCACGTCCACTTTCCCCAAAAAGCAGCTGTTAAATGATATTTGTTATCAAACTTCAGCATTAATTTTGCCCAAGTGTTTCCCTCTGGAACACTGTGGCACTGTGGGTTTGCTGCTTGAGTTGCAGGGGGGGTTCAGAACTTTGGAATTCCCAGATTCTTCACTTTTCTGCTCAAATATCATTCTGTTTAGATATGGGAGTCTGAGGTGGTAGATTTTGTAAGTCACTTGAACACATCTAACAACTGGAGTTAAGTGTGCTCTGTGTAACACCAAAATTGAGCTCTGATCTCAGAGTTCTGTGATTTCCCTCCTGTTCCTGTGGCTCACAGCAGAGGGGAAAACTCCAATAAAATATCATTTTTAGAGAACAATTTGGCAGCACCATGAGCTGCCTTCGCTTTTCAGGTGGAGAGCAGCTCTGGTCTGAGGAGACAGAACTTTGGAGTGGAGTGGCTCTTGGTGATGTCCAGCTGCATTAAATAGAGCCTGGAAAATTGCATCCAAGGGAGGAAGTGAAATGGGATAATCACAGAATATCCTGAAGTGGAAAGGATGCACAAGGATCATCCAAGTCCAACTCATAAACAATATCAGAGAGTTTTTAAGGAGACTTGCTCTACTGCACCTTGAGGGCTTCCAGGGGTGTAACTGTTAAGTTTACTTATTTTTCCCTGCTCCATCACCAATGACTGGTATTTGTTTCAGGAATCAGTGTCTCCAAATAGCTTAATTTCTTCTCAAGCTTCTCCTGTGTAACATCTGGATCCTGCAATAATCATAGCAGTGCTTGATCCTGCTGTTGTTTGCAAGATCCCTGTGGACCACCGGAACAAGGCAGGAAGTATTTCAGGCTCGTAAGTCTCCTGCAGTTTAGCTGAATTTCAAGCAGATCATCAGGGTGTCACCCTCATTGTGTGTGTGTTTATCTCCTGGAGGAAGCCCCATGGGTTGCTTGTTCCATGTGCCAGTTCCTTCCCAGCTGTTTCCCAAATTTAAAAGAAATATGACAAATTTGGTACTGGAACAGGCTCCTCAGGGAAGAGGTCGCAGCTCCAAGCCTGAGAGAGCTCAAGAAGTGTTTGGACAATGCTCTCAGGCACATGGTGGGAATTTGGGGCTGTCCTGTGCAGGACTAGGAGTGGGGCTCGATTCCTGTGGATCCAACTCAGGAGATTCCATGATTCTACGGAAAAACCCCATTCTGCAACTGATGGAGAGGCTTTCGTGATGGAGACTGTGGTACTGCTAAAGATACTGATCAAATAACTTCTGTGGCTTGTTGGGTCTGCTTTAGGGCTTTAAATTCATTTGTCCAAGAAAACATGGAGTTTTCCAGATGTTCTCATTGCTGCCATGTCTCACCTGTCGGTAAGACCATAGAAGCCATGGACACCTGAGTGTCCCAGTGAGGACAGGTTCTGTGGGGAAGCTCTGGGACACCTGAGAACTCCCTGTTGGCCATTTTTCCCCTAGAATGCAACGGGATATTCCCCTGGTGCTGACTCACAAGGCTGTTCAGGGACAGCCACCACACAGGGGGTGTCCGTGGCCTTCCCAGTGCCCATCTCGGGGTGGCAATGATGGGCGCTCAAGCCCGCTCTGCCTTTTGCCTCTCCTCGCTGGCAGCTCTCAGCGGAGCTCCCGCCGGACCCCCGGGACACACAACTTTCCCCGAGTTTGGATGCAGGGCTCGGTGTGAGTGGGACCGCCCCCGGGATGCGCCGGGCACACCCGCGAGGTGTGAGGGCGCCTCGGGCGCCTCTGAGGGACCCACGGGGGGCGCCCTGAGTGGCGCGCGAGGCCGCCTCACGCCCCCGTCCTGTGAGGGAATCGCGGCCACCGGGGGCTACCCCAGAGCTCCGGCGGGGCGGTTATCCCGGTTTTCCCGGTTATCCCGCGCCACTGGCGAGGGGTGGCAGAGTGGGGGGCTCCGTGAGGGGAGTGGGGGGGCGCCGAGGGGGGCTCGGGGCGGGGGCGGGCGCGGCGGCGATTGGCCGGCGGCGGCGGGGAGAGGCGGCCGTGATTGGCCGGCGCGGCGGGGCGAGCGGCGGGCGGCGGGCGGCGATTGGCTGCGGACGAGGAAGCAGGAAGGAGGCCGGAGGCGCTCGCGGCTTGCGGGGAGTTCGCGGCGGCGGCGGCGCCCCCGGTCCCTCCTCCGGTCCCTTCTCCGCCCCCTCCTCCGCCCCTCCCGGCCCCTCCGCCGCCCGCTCCGGCCTCCGCCCGCCCGCTCCGCGACGCCCCGCGGCCAGGGGCGGGCGGCGGCGGTGGCGCCTCGTCCCCATCCCGCAGCCGAGGAGGCGGCGGCGCTGACGCAGCAGCAGCGCGGAGCTCGGGACTCGCGGCGCTCCCGCCGCTGGATTTCTCCCCCCCGGGGCCTGCGGCAGCCTCCCGGTGAGTCCACACGCGGTCCTCGCGGCGCCGGCTCGTCCCTCCGCCCTCGGGAACTCCGCCGGGCCGGGAGCAGGTGCCGCCGCCCCGGGGTTTGGGGGGCGGGGGGTACGCGGGGCCACCGGGAACTTCCCGCGGCAGCGGGGAAGCGCCGGGAGGGCACGGCGGGCTCGGTGGCGGGTGGGCCGGGCCGGGCCGCCGTTACCCCGCGCGGTCCCACCGGTGCGAGGCCGGATCGGCCCCGCCGAACCCCCCCGGGCTCCTCCGCCCCTGCCGCTCGGGCAGCACAAAGGCGGCGGGGCCGGGCGGGGGGGCCCGGGGGAGTTGCGGGGCTCGCGGTCCCGGGGGGCTCCTCGCCCCAGGGGCTGCTCGCCTCGGCATCGCCGGATCGGGGGCGATTCCCAGGGAAAGCCGTCGCTGTCCTCGGCCCCTCCAGATCTCGGAGCTGAACCGGCGCTGCCCGGCCGGGAGTTGGCACAGGACGGGCTGGCTGGGGTTGGCGTTTTGGGGCTCCCCACGCCCGAGCGGGGCCATGAGCCCCTCCCCTGAGGACTGAGCGGTTGAGTGCGTCGAGTTCCCGATGGTTTGCAGGATGTGATGCCGGGCGGGCTGTGCGCCCCGTGTCTCTGTCAAGCAGGTACCATCGAGCCTCTTTGGGGGACAGCACAGCAGTTTTCATTTCCATCGTGATTTTTCCCACTTGCCGTGCGCTCCCCGTGGCTCTGGACATCTCTCCTTTCCTGCCGGCTGCTCCGGTGGCCGACGGCTTGTTTCCTCTTCTCCTTTTGTGTAGCGGTGGCTCCTAATGGAGGCAGCTCCGCTGGCTCCCTCTTTTCCAGCTGCTTCTATAAGGCGCAGGAGCCAGCACATGTGACTGGGCAGATCTCGGGAAGACTAGCAAGTGCTCCCCGGGCTCCTGCTCGACAGCCAGCCCCAACGCGGGGATACACACACCCCGATGTCCCTTTCCCTGCCCCGGCACAGGGAGACACAGGAACCCCCTCTCTTTCACAAGAGCAGCCATGAAAACTTAAAAAATACGAGCATTTGGGATCTATTCTGCTTGCCTCTCCCCCTCCCCTCTCTCTTTCCACAAAATGCTTATCTGAAAGAGGTTCTGGTTGTGTTTTGTTTTAAAGAATCCAGCTGCCCCTCGTGCTCGCTCTCCATCTGAAGTCATCATTGTCAGGAGCAGGCGAACCTCAAAGCGAGAGGCTTTGCCGGGCTTTTGCTTGCCTGGTTAATTGATCTGTCCATCAGTTTGCCACAATTAGCGAGTGCTTGCTCCACGCTGAGGGGCTCTCTCGTGTTCTGGGGGGCTCGGGGTTTTATTTTAAGGCTTCTGGTCCTCGTGGTTGTGAGAAAGAGTGACACGAGCTGCGTGATAGACTGATGCTTTTGAAATCTTAATGTGATTTAAATACCAGCACGCTGCTGATCGCTTTAACAGAAATATCCTGCTCACATATTCATCCCGGGCCATCCTTCACGTTTGTCATGTCCTGGCTACCTGAATCGTTCTCAAGCTTCAGCTGGAGCTGTCTAAATGTTTGCTGGTGATAGGAAATTGTGCATTAGTGTGATTTACCAGGATGTTTTGGATTTAAACATTGATTTCTGTTTGTTTTGCTCATGAACTCAGTGCAGCATTTCCAACTGCTTTCCAGCTGGAGCAGAGCAGAGAAGTGTAGTGCTACTGATAGGTGTAAAATCAGCTGGAAAACGCCAAGCCTGCAGGGAAAAATAATTCCCTGAACTTTGTGCCAGTGGATCCTTTCTGGATGCTTTGTTTGCTGGGGGTTGATGGTGACAGTTGCACAGAACAATAAGATGCAACTTAGAAATGTGGGGTTTGGGGGAAAAAAAGTCACACCCTTGTGTCTTGAGGCAGAAATGTTATTTTGGAGGTCACTGACATGTTCTCATCCAACTGAATCATTCAGTTAAGTGTCGGTACTCTGTCTTTCTTGCCAGTTCGTCTGCATCACCTGTCCGTTTCCACTCTGGAAGCCTCAGTGTTTATTTGGCTTTTTAACCAGTATCACGGGACAGTTGGGGTTGGAAGGGCCTCTGGAGACCATCCCCACCTAGAGCAGGTGACACAGAAATGTGTCCAGGTGGGTTTGGAATGCCTCCAGAGAGGGAGACAGCCTGAGCAGCCTGTTCCTGTGCTCTGCCACACTCAATGGAAAGTTCTTCCTCCTGTTGAGGTGGAACTTGTGTTTTAGGTGATGCAGGTGAATTTTGTTTGCTGTGGTGGTGTTAATCGCTGTTGTGTGACCTGGAGGCTCTGTGGGACACGTGTGCCGGTGCAGTCTGTGGAGATCCGATTTAGGGAGAGCCTGGCCGTGATTTGGGGGGAAATCCACCCTTCAGCAAAAGCTTTTCTAATGCTGCTGCAGCACTAAAAATAAGCCCTTAGCAGCAAATCTGTCCAAAGTAAACAATTGAAAAATAATTAGGAGTGGTAGGCAAAGGCATGCTCGCTGCTTGGCATCATGTTCAGATCACAAGCAAATGAATGAATGATGAGATCTGGCTCTGCAAAAACAGGAAGGTGTGCTCGGATGTGCAAATATCACATCCAGTGTGGGGCTTATTTTGCCCCATCTCCCAGTTAGTTGTCTCCATTTGGACATCAGAAGGGATTTCTTCCTGTAAAGGGTTGTCAGGCACTGGAAGGGGCTGACAGCAGGGAGGTGGTGGAATGCCCATCCCTGCAGGTGTTTAAGGAAGGACTGGGTGTGCACTCAGTGCTCTGGGCTGGGTGACAAGGTGGTGGTTGGTCACAGGTTGGACTCGATGATCTCAGAGTTCTTTTCCAAGCTCATTGGTCCTGGCATCTCAGTTAACCAGGGGATACAGCTCGTGGAAGCAGCAGCAGAACGGCCTCGGCGTCACACCCAACCGGCCGAACCAAGTCATAACTCTCATGTTGATAATAATAAATGGAGCAGTGTTCAGATGACTGGGAAATACAGGGGGGAAAAAAAACCAACCAAAAATAAGCAGCCCAGAGAAGCCATAAATCTGAAAATCGCTTCAAACACAAGCTGTGAGCTGGCAGGGGCTGGGGTGGCTGGGCTGTGACAGAGAGGGATGTGCTTCGATCCCGGGGGATTTCCCCATCCGAGGGCTCTGACCGTCTGGTTTGCTCTCCTGCTTGAACTCACAGTGTGAGTGATGATTTATGTGCCTGTTTCCAGCAGCTCATAGGTGAGCTGGTCATATTCCCAGCTGCAGATTTGGGCTGTCTTGAGCTATTCTCCAAGTGTGAAGTCTGGAAGACGTTCCAGTTTTGGATACAGACAGTGTTTAAAGGGAAGAACAGGGGATGTTTTGTGGAGGATGCTCAGAAGGAATTGTTCCTTGTGCTTCAGCATGAGGACTGGAGGCTTTGGGTCCTTCAGCCATGATCACAGCTGTCCAGCATGGCAGCTCCTCTTTTATTGAGACCAAAGACATGGATTTAATGGCAGAAAATATTGAAATTTGTGGCTAGATTGTTGTTCTCAGTGAATGAGTTGCCTGTAAGAAGACCATCACAATTTAACTCTCTGTGCTTTCACACTTGTACTGGCACCTGATATCCTTGAAATGGGGAAAACACACTTAAATTTGATACTACTGGTTTTATGTCTTTTAAGACAGAAAGAAACAAGATTGTATGGGACAATGTCATAACTTTGTGCAATTATTGCCCAGATTTGCTATTTTAGCATGGAGCTTTATTATAAATAAAGTAGAATAGAGTCACAGTAATATTTCATATGAATAAAAAAAACCCCTTCCATTAGGAGAACAAGACACTGGAAAACTTTATCATGCATTAAAGTGAAATGAGGGACTGAAGTTACTAAAAAGAGAAGCCAAGGGTATCATTAAGAAAAACAAATATAAATCTGGTTTAAAATCAACTCATTTGGGCCCTGTCAATATTTGTGCCATTGGGGTTTAATTGATCTGTTCCAAGTTACTTTTTCTCTGGCCATGGGGGTGAAACCCCTATAAAATCAGAGTATGGAGAGCTGGCAGGATATAAGAAGTGCAGTCAGCTGAGGGAAGTGAACCTGAACCTCTTTGTGAAATCTCTGGTCTCTCAAAATTATAATTGTATAATTTCCAAAGAATAATTTGATTTAAATCATAGTGGAAATCCCTCAGTGGGGATGGCAGTGCTGCTCTGCTTCTGGAGAAAAGCAGCTGAAAATGAGGATGGCTGCCCTGGAGGAGCAGTTGTTTTCCCTTCAATCTGCTACTTATTGATATACATTAAATTTCAGGACATCTTCCATAGAGGGCGGGTGGTTATTAACTCCACATGGGTCAAAAATAATTCAGGGGACGCTGTTGATTTTGGCCTGATTTGTGAGTGATGCTCTCATTTGGCAGTGCTGGGTTCTTGCTGGCTGATGACGGGGGAAGGCGTGGATGTGTCTTTCCTTGAATCAAAGCGTGTGGGAATGAGCGATGGAACGCCCTGCGCGCCTGGTGGCACCGGGCAGTCCCCGCTGGGGTCTGAGCCGTGCCGGTAGCGTGCAGCTAAATAAACACTGTTAAATGGGGAGGGAATGTGTGTCACCCCCCGGGAGCGCGCCGTGCTCAGGGCCCTGCCGCTGCGCTTTTCCCACGTGGCACGGTCGGGAATGCCGCTTTTATCACCTCTCCTAGCAGCTCTGACTTAGATTAGAGGTGCATTTTCAGGAGAGGTGTTTGGCCGGACCCTGTCTGAGCCTGCTTGGAATCCCTCGGTTTGTCCTTCTCCTTCCTTCGCCGTTTAAAATTCCCAGTGCTTTTGGAGACTTGGCAGCACGGGATTTTGAGGGGGGTTTGCTGTCACACGTGCAGCCAGGCACCGTGACACGAGTCTGGTGGCATTGGCAGGGTGTCAGCTCATCCCATGGGATGGCACAGCCGGCACGGTGATGCTGGGAGCGGGGAGGCTTTGGGATCCGTGTGTCTCGTGGCTCCCTCCTTCCTCTGCCAGGGAAGGGGGTGCAGCC